TGTGGACTTCAACTCCCAGAATTCCTCAGCCAGCAAAGCTGGCTGAGGAATTCTGGGAGTTGAAGTCCACAAGTCTTAAAGTTGCCAAGGTTGGACACCCCTGGTCTAGACCAAGGCTGTTCACAGACAAGTTTAAGATGTGAGGACTTCAACTCCCAGAATTCCTCAGCCAGCTGGGAGTTGAAGTCCGCAGATCTTAACAGTTGCAAAGCGTGGACACCCCCGATCTAGATCACGAGAGATACCAGATTTAACACTGTGCTAGCACTGAGCCCAGAGAAGATGGACACCTGGAAACATGGCTCTCACAGCTATTGTAGCATGCCCTCCTTAGATCTGCTGGGTCTTGGTTACAAAACCTTGTGTGGTTTTGGTTTCAACACAACTTGTATGTAATTAACATGGGAGGAACAGAAAAGGTGCCTATACCTGAGATGCCTATACTTACCCAGAACCCATCGTACTGCCGGAAATGCAGTTATTTGCCAAGTGATCAGGAGTAACTGTGGGGGGCTCCTCATCATTAACTCCGTCCACTTTCATCTTCTTGACGGGCACATTTCCGACAAAGGTGGAAACTCTCTTGACCCGGATGGCTGGGCGAGGGCCGGGCAAAGACACCAAGCCAGGAATATTAAGCACACTAGAATTCACGGCGACAGGCTGAAGGAGACAAGTCTGCTGGAGTCCCAAGGAAGGTGTCACCAGAGCTGGGGCACTCAGTGCCAACTGCCCACCGCCAACAGCCTGAGATGTGGTGCCCACCACGTTCATCATGGGTACCATGCTAAGTACCGGGCCCCGGATCGTCCAAGTGGGCAAGGGGTTAGGAGTCAGGCCCAGAGGTGCCCTCAGAATGACCGTGCCAAGATTGGGAGCAGCCGACATCGGGGTGGGGTTTGGCTTGAAAGCCTGTTCCCCGTCTTGAGCGGCCAGTGGGCTTTCCTCGCCTTGAACTTTCATGCACACCTGGGCCAGCTTGTTCACCAGAATGATCCTGGAGTTGGACTTTTGTGCCTCGGGTCCCAGCACCGCCGTCACTTCAGGGCTGGACGGCACTTGGGCACAACCGAGGGTTAAGGTTGGAGCTGGATCCGGAGCAGGGATGGGATGGGCTGACTCAGTGCCGTTGAGGCTGGCAGAGGTAGGAGGTGCCGGTGGCAGTGGCATCGGGCTGAGGCAAGGAGGAGGGCTGGCCTTGCTCTCGGGGGCGTCCATGTTCTTCAGCACAAACTCCACAATGTCCGAGGGCAAGTCCTCTGGAGCTGGCGTGGGGCCGGCCAGCTCTCGCTCCACCCTTGGCTCGGGCTGCTTGCCCTTGGCGGAAGGGTGCCCCCCCGTCGCATCTGCCTCGCTGTCAGTGCCGTCGTCTATGCCGTCCAGTTGGTGGATATGGGGCAGCGGGAGATCCAGCGGGTAAGGCGGCAGAGGTGGGTCTCGGGTCACTACCGTACGCGGGAAACGGAAGTAGCGGCTGGCCTCTCCTTCCTCCTCACTCTCGCCATCGCCCAGCCCATCTAACTGGGGCAGGCCCAGGCTGGGTGAAGGGGGACATGTCCGCGGCCCTCCCAACTCTTCTTCCTGGAAAGGCTCATCCAGAAGGCTGTCGTCAAATTCCAAGTCGGAGACGTTGAGCTCAAAGGCCAGTTCTGGCGGCACAGGGGGGGGACGAGGGAGGGGGTGAGGTAGCTACGGGCCGCTGCTCGTCACACCCAGCTGAGGTAGAAGGATGCCTGAAGCCGTTCCCAGCTGTTGGGTAGTCTGGGAGGGGTGGCATTGCCCTGAGAGAGGTGCTGGGGGGGCTAGTCCTGCTAGCGGGGGCTTGGGGTGGGAGGAGGGACCGGCGTGGGCGAGGGTTGCTGCTAGGTGACATGGGGCTGAGGCGTTGCGTGCGGCGCGGAGGAGGGAAGTCGGGGTCACCCACAGTCAAGATATGATGGGACATGGACGATGCGCTTCCTGCAAAAAAGGGGAGGGAAAGAGAGAAAAAGGAGGTGTGAAGAAGAGTGAACATGCATTCGCTGCTGGGATCTCTCCTGGTCAGGAATGTGCTGTGGACACAAACCCCCGAGCTATCACCCCAGTTTTCAACTCTTCCCCCCACTTCAGTGGGGACATTTATAGTAGAATTTACTGCTTAAAGTTAGATAAAGGTCAATAGCAAAGGGCTGGATTTAGTTCTCTGACAGCTATGTAGTGATTCTAGGCCCGTGATGGCAAACCTATGGCACACGTGCCACAGGTGGCACACAGAGCCATTTGTGCCAGCACGCGAGCTGCAGGCAAACTTACCGCACTGCGCATGTGTGCGCCGCACAGCTGATTTTCGGCCGGTTTGAGCCCTTTTTCGGCCTCCCAAAGGCCTGAGGAAGGCTTCTGCAGGCTTCTGCAAGCTTTAAGGGGCGAAAATTAGCCCCGTTTCGTCACTTCCGGTATTTTTGGAAAAACAGGAAGTGACAAAACCGGGCTAGTTTTCAGCCTGCAAAGCTTGCAGAAGCCTTCCTCAAGCCTTTGGGAGGCTGAAAAAGGCCTCAAACTGGCCGAAAATTAGCTGTGCGGCGCAGTGCAGGTAAGGGGGCGGTAGGGGATGGGGGGGATTGTGCACACATACATAGGGGGTGTTGGGGGCACGCATTGCTTTCTGGGTGCTGGCATGCCAAGTGCAAGCGTGCGCACAATTTTTGTCACAGGAGCCCAAAAAGGATAGCCACCACTGTTCTAGGCTGATCCCTCTTTTCACTCCACCTCCAGGTTTTGCCATCCCTTCTCCTACCGCTGGGGATGGGTTGATGGGTTGCGTTTCACATGCAACCAACCCTGGATTATGACCTAACGAAATGAATGAATCCAAGTCATTGTGGCTCAATCGGAAAACTGAAAAGGAAAAAAGAGACCCCGCCACTTCTATACTACTTCCCTGTGAATGGATTTTTAAAATGCATGATCCACACCCTATGGATGTGGATGGCCAAGTACTCACCGGGAGAAGGCAACGGGCGGGACGACACCCCGCTTAGGGGCCGGCGGGTGGGGGAGTAGTTGGGCACTTTGATGCGAGCTCCAGTGAGAGGTTTAGGCTTGGAGACAGCAGGCTCGGGAGGTGGCAGAGGTCCTGGGTTCTGTGCTGGAGAATGGCGCTCCAGTGGTGGTACAGGAGAAGGTGCCTCCTGAAGTGGCTTATCTTTGAGGTTAGGGTCTGAAAACAGAGAACATGTCAGAAGCAGAAACCAGAAACAGTGGAACCCAGGGACCTGAAATGGGCTGAGGGGTAAGGATCTTAACCAGACTCTTGAACCTAGCCAAGAAGGGGCTGAAGCAAGTCCAGAACAAGATAACGTTAAGGCACTGATGATGTTATCTAGTTTGGTAATGAAACATCAATCAGAAAACCACCAAACTCGGAGATCACCAAGGACCCCACAGTTCAACCCTCAGCTACTAATATTCTCTTCTATCAGTACAATAAGATATCTGGAAAGGACTCAGGAAAATGTCTCCCTAATTCACTGGAGGATAAGGAGGAGGAGGAGAGACAGTGCAATAAGACATCTTAGAACAGGGGTCCCCAAACTTGGCAACTTTAAGATTTGTGGCCTTTAACTCCCAGAATTCTCTGGCTGGCTGGAGAATTCTGGGAGTTGAAGTCCACAAGTCTTAAAAGTTGCCAAGTTTGGAGGCCTCTGTCTTAGAAGTTTCCAGGGTTGAGAAATCTAGGAGGTAGAAGGACTGCAGGACAATGCAATGAGTTTGTTGAGCTGACTCCAATCCTCTGTCTCCCATCATTAAGGAGGACATTAAGGGATGCAGAAAATCCTCTTGTCACATTTCTGCATGAGATGGAAAAGTAAAATGCAAAAGAAGTCTTGAAAAAAAGGCTCAGACCAGACTTACCTACAGGGGCAGCCGGACTGTGCACAATTGTGTGGTTCTCTTCCTGCATTCCTGAGGCATCTGGCTCTTCTGCGCTCAGCTTTGGCCGATATTCCAGGACCCGGCATGTATATTGGCAACGCTTACGGGCATCCACCGTGCTCCAATATAATCTGGAACATCTGGTGGGGATATATGTGCAGAAGGAAGCAAAGAATCACTTGTACCTTCTCGGTCTAAGCAGCAGGAGGAATGCTACGAATCAGGCACCTTCCGGCTTAGAGAAGAGGTGGGCAACCTGCAATCCCTAAAGCCCTAAATACTATTGCTGAAATTTGGTAGCAAGGTTTCCTGCCATCAGGAGAGAAAGATAGTAATTTTTAAAGATCCTGCAAAATGATTAAAAATGATTAAATAAGCTCATTTTAAGTTCTAGGATAACCTTAAAGTGCTTAAAAAAAAATAAGGATTTCCAACAGGCCACAAAAACGGAAGGGGCAGAATTAAAATAAATAAATAAATATTGGCCCTATTCCATTAGGGGGGAAAAAATATCCCATCAAATGCTACCAGAGATGTGCTCTTCCATGTCTAATAGGACATTCACCCTTTTCCAACCTGGTACCCTCTAGAGCAGGGGTGGGCAACTATGGCCCTTTTATGAATTATGGACTTCAACTCCCAGAATTCCTGAGCAAGCTTGCTCAGGAATTCTGGGAGTTGAAGTCCATAATTCATAAAAGG